ACTTTTAAACAACTTGTTCACAAAAATTTTAACTGTGTATTGTATGTTGTATTGGGCTGTTTAATATGCCTATCCATGTGGCCATTTGGATTTATGTAAATTATGCATGATGCTAAGTTGGTTTACAAAGTTGAAGTCGATCGTTCCGACACAACATGGGATCACAAATCCACAAAAATAACTTCAGTGAGGTACTTCTGATTTGTTTCAGTGTTGTTGAATTACAAATATGTAGTATTTGTTGCGGTGTTCCATTATTTTTTTGATGCATTACCATGGCATCGGCTCTGGAGGCCACACCCACCACCAATTCTATGGTAAACAGGCAGATTATGATAGCTTACGGTCCTAGCTTAGAGTATAGCCTTTAGACAAGGCCTTTAGACGCCGAGCGACCAAAAAGAGACTAATCGCGAAAACCCGAGTGAACGACAGAGCGAGTGGCTTCAGCGGAGAGGCCTTTATAATCTGGTTTGGAATTTCTTATGTTAACCTTTGTTTCCGACTGGAGTTCTCTACCGAAATGGTAGCGTATCCTCGCATATAGTATCCATCACACACACAGTAAACTCTACGTGAGTACGAACATGAATCGACCTACGTACGGGCTAAAACCTATTTATTTTATATACATGGAAAGTCTAATTATCAAATATGGTGATGGTGGTTATTTTACCTGACTGCTAAGAAAGCATAGATGCTTGTAAGTAAGCAACCAAACGGTCGACGGCTTTAGGTCCTCTCCGAGGGACCTGGTAATGAAAATTAATGCCTTACCAAAGGGCACTAGCGCATCGACTTGGTTTCGAACCGGGGTCACTGGATTACGAGACCCCTGCTCTATCGACTGAGCTATCTCGCCTCCTCAGTAATGATCGTTAGCTTAAGTCATCAAATGCTTCCTATTTTATTGTAATTTTGCATGTAAAATAGATTTGAATGTGATATTTTGTATTTATCACTTTCAATATATGTTCATCTCATAAGCAAAACTTATTTACGTCTTTTACCTTTTCTTACATGTTTTGATAATGAATGAATCACGAACGAAGCCATCTGGGAGATGGCCTTTCTGATTGGTTATGAATAATTCATGCGGAGCAGTAAAAGCCAGAATCCAAAAGGCCTCGCGGATAACGCCACTCGATCGCGCGTTCACTCCGGGTTTCTAGATTCATCCCAGCCGCTGATGGGGGGAAAATAGCAAGAGTCACGAGGCCTAGTAAAAAGTCTCAGCTTAGAGGAAAACGTCACCAATTTTCTTGCCTGAAAGTGGGGGGGGGGGGGGGGTGCATAATGGCCTATAGACTAATAGTTTATCATCCCATTTTTATCATGAAACCAAATTTATCTTTCAGGCTGGATCCCTGGTTCTCCGCACAATGGTTCCGATGTAAACTGTGTGGCTGTTAGTATAGACGGTTGGGTGAACTTCAAGTGCCGCTATAGATTACCCACAATATGTCAGATACTGCTATAGAAGCATAAGGAAATAACGGATTTTTCAGAGATTTCTTTTCGAATTTTCTTAATTTTCTGGCGAATAGAGAAGAAAAAAAACTGGACAAAACTTGCGAGAAGGAGAAATGACTACAAGTTGCATGAATTATTCCGACGTCTTTTCGTGATTTTGTTTTTAAAAAAATAACAAATTGATGAACCGTTAATATATGTTTGCTTTAATCATTTAGGCTCGATATTTTAGTCGATCAATTGTGACCTATTTCTTTATTTTAATCGAGATTGTTAAATTAATCTGTATATTTCAGATTATTTCAACTTCATAGATCCATAGCAATATTTATGGTGTATAACAACAAATTATTCCATTCTGGACTATTTCTTCATTTCTGGACCGTAAAAAAATACAGGAAATACTATTAAATCCTTGTTTATTTGATCTTTTATTAACCATCAAGTCACAAATTTCTGTTATTAATTGGTAGAAACAAAGGTAAATGTTCCTTTTTATTTCCTATCTTTTGCAAGAACAAAAAAAAATCATCTCAACCTCTCTACATGACCATGCATTCACTCTCTTTCCTTGTACCTCATCTTAAAACACAAAGCAATTAAAACAAACCAGGAAATTGTTTTCATACAGGGATGCATTTTATTCTTATTTTATTGTTTAAATCACCAATTGACAGGCAACATATTTACAAATGTCATATTCATTCCTTGTCAAAATTCAAGATTCAAGATTCAAGATAATTAAATAATAATGAATAAAAAAAGATAATTGACATATAACATATTTACAAATGTCATATTCATTCCTTATCAATAATAAATGAATAAAAAAGATAATTGACAGGTAACATATTTACAAATGTCATATTCATTCCTTATCAAAATAATAATGAATAAAAAAGATAATATCATTCTACAGGGCACTAAAATAAGCGTTATACCAATCTACAGGGCACTAAATGGTATAAGCGTTATACCAATCTACAGAGTACTAAAAAGTATAAGCGTTATACCAATGTACAGGACACTAAATGGTATAAGCCTTTTCTCTCTAATTTTCTGACTTTGTCTTTCGTCTTTTACTCCCATCCCCCCCCCCCCGATTTTTTTTTGAGGGGGAGCTTATTGAATTTTGATGGATTAAAAACAAAAAACAAAACAAAAACAAAAACAAGAGATGTAACCGCTACCAGTCATATAATAATATAACTTTATGTTTCCAGTAGCATATATAGACCTATAAAAAGGCACACAGACATACACTGGTTGAGGCTTGTTGAAATTAAATCCTTCAAAATACTGAAAGGTCACACAAGTGCGAACAATACAATTGCAATTTTTATTTCCATTTGATAGAAATAACAAACCAAAGACAATTTAATTTGGGGTCCAATTTTGTTTCGGATTAGCTAGCAAATACTGATTGTTGTACGTTGCGTGTGTCGTATATATGAGTCTGTTTGTATTTGTATTTCGTATTTATTCGGAAAATGAATATTTTGTTTTACAATACATATAATACAATACAGTACATAATAATTGTTACAAACGTAGACATATTATTTTACAATTTCAAGTCCTAACCAACAGGGTCAAACGAAAACAAATATAAGACTTATACAAAATACAATTGTTAGTATTTTACGTTACGCAAAAAAGATTACTTCTTTAAACAATTTGAATTTGATAGAAATGACATTAAAAACACTTGTAACCTAATCAACCATGCACTTGAATATTAGAAGCAGTAGTAAGCAGGATATTTAAGAGATTTTAGTCGGAAACACATGCTTACAAGAAACAGCTTTTATTGCTGAGAATCTCAAAAATTAGTTCGTAAACATAGGTCCTAATTTTGCACAGGTCATCCTCACTTCAAATCATTCATTTCATTCATTTCTAGATCGTCGAAATCCTGAATCTCTATTTTTTTTGACTCGGTACAAGAGGTAGAGGTTATCGATATTGTTAACAATTTAAAAAGTTAAAAGAGCGCTCGATATGATGGCATAATAAATTTACTACTTAAATATATTATTTCCGAAATAGTCATCCCACTTAAACCCATATATTTACCTCTTTAAACAAAAATTGTGATGACGTACTCTTTTCCATGAAAAAAGCCAAAGCATGGGGAAATTCCTGTAAGACTTTAGGAGTTACCTCTCTCGATTTCCTCCATTTTTCAACAACAAAAAAATAAAGAGATATATACCCACTATAGACAGTCGAACCTTTACACACACAAAAAAAAAAAAATTATTTACACCGGTACAGTATTTTGCAATGACATGGACCTATCTCTTAAATAAAGTACCAGTCTGTACATATTTATACAAAAAACGGAAAATTAAATGTTTAAACACATATGCATGAATGTATGTGTCGTCACCGGTCAGCTGGATTGTTTACATTGTTGACACGTCTGTATATGCATGAATCTCGGTTAGTGTGACTTCCGACTCAATCTCTTTCTCCCTCATTCTGCTGATCCAAACTTCTGTTTCTAGAACTTTTGCAATCATTCATTTTCCTTTTTCCATCTTTCTTTCCTTTTTGCCTTTATCTATTTTCCCCATTTAAAAATAAAATCCCCTTCCCTAATCTTATAATTTCTTGAGTGTTACATATTTGTTACGTCTTGATTTTCTATGTATACTTTGTTTTCAAGACGTACTGTAAAACAGCATTTGAGGAACTCATACTTCAACAAGCTCTACTTCTATGTAGTTCCTATTTTCTCGTGTCATTACTATTATATTTGTCTCGTTTATCATTGTATATTTTTGTAATATACTTATAATATATTGCAAATAACATTGCAATTTCATGTGAAATATAATCATTTGAATATTAGAATTTCTTTTTCAACCTTTCTTTTGTTTTCTTGAAAAGCGTGATATAATAATAAATCAGTATTTATGTTTCTCATTGTGCATAATACTTTCCTAAGTTTTGGCAGATTTGTGTAATCATAATCAAGAGTATGCTTCCACTTCGGCTAAAATCTTTTCTTATTGACACCCAACACAGGGGCGGATCTAGGAGGGGGTTCGGCGGTTTAACCCCCCCCCCCCTCCCTTGGGCGGCCAAGTAAAGAAAAAAAAAGGGGGAAAAGGAAAAAAAAAAGGAAAAAAAAAAGGGGGGGGGGGGGGAAAGAAGGATAAAAAAGGGGAAAAACAAAAAGTAACACAGTAAAACAGCCCCTGCAACACATTTCTTAACCATTAGAAGTTATCACTCTTTATGCCATACACATTTTTGGAGATCCCATTTACAGCTTTCGCTAACTTTTCAAAATTAACAGTAAAAGCGCCCCACATCTCTGATCCATCTACAAATATCGGTCTTACAAATGAGTCAAATAATCGTGTCGCCATTCTAATATTAGGGAGGTTATAACCAGATGATTTGAACAATCTAAATAAAACTGTTTAACTATATTTATCAACTAAATTCATCATTGAGTAATTGTCAGTCAGATACTACTTGAGGAATACTGTAAACAAATCACCGTCGATTTTTTTTTTCCCCGGTCCATTATCTATTTATTTTGTTATAAGGAGAACATCTCTACAGCATGCTCGTGTATTAGATATGGTGGTCATGTACATGTATAACGGGTGTTCAAAGTAGAGTTTAAGGTAGATTCATCTTTGAGACGACATATTAAGATAGTATATTCCTACTTCATGTTCGCGTCTCAGATATGTTATTTAGGGAACGGATCTTTAGAGCAGGGTTTGTGGTAGATTTTAAACCATCACTTTGAATACTTCTACATCATGCTCGTGTTTCAGACACCGTGGTCTTTTGCGTAGGGTTTGAGGTAGATCTCGTCTTTGAACCACCACATATTGCAATGAAGGTATAGAGATATGGATTGATGGTTGCGTTGATAGGCAAGATAAAGACAACGCTCCATGCGTAGAGGGATACCGGGAGGGTGACAGCACCTGTTTGCGAAAGGATACCCATGATGATCACCGGCATCCAGCAAAAGAAATCCGTCAGGACAATGATAGACATGCGTGTTGCCAGCTTCACTTCCCGGGCGCGGTCACTGCTAACCGAACCGCTTGCCGGATTGGCCACACTGCGTGCCGACTTGCGAACGTGAACGAATATGACGACATAGGAGAGCAGAATGAGGATGAAGATCAAGAAATTCACACCGAGAAAGATGGCGATCGAGTACACCCAACTTGGTCGCTTAGTCGTTTCATATTGGAGGTATTCCCACACCCTTCTCTCGATATTAAATACTAATTCTCCTGTCTCTGTAGACTCAACATTGAGGGGGAGTCCAACACAAACATCTGACAGGCCATAAAAACCGCTGATATAGGAGCTAACAATCAAAGGAACAATGCTCACTACAAACGCAATGGCCCATATCAGCGCTACACCAACGCGAGCAGAAGTAGCCCGAAACTTCAGTTTACCGAAGGGGAACACGACGCAAAGAACTCGATCTATCGTAATGATCGCAAGTATGAATACGGACGTTTCGCTGGATAGAAAAGCGATGAATCCTGCAACTTTGCAAGTGACCGATCCACGCCATTGCTCTGCGTAGAGGTAGAAATACTCTCCATAGTACACATCTGCTGACGATATTATAAGCATGTAGATTCCCATCAGAAAATCCGCTATGGCAAGGTTGGAGATGAACAGTCCCTGAGTCTTTGCGCTGACTGAATGATCGGTACGACACCGAAAGACAAGAACTATGGTATTGCCGATGAGGGCGCCAAACCCTATGACCCACAGTGCTACCCTTAAGATTGTGTTTGGCATGAGACGGGAGCAGGAGTCCAGAAAGTTCGAGGAAGCAATGGTGCACAGATCTGTCTCGTCGAACAAACAGCAAAGCCTGTAGTCATCAGTCGACCTGAAAGATGTACACAGATATTTGCAATAAACAATGTTTCTGATGGAGTCATTTGTTAGGACGGCTATATGCCAGAGCAAGGAGGGAATTCCTTAAAGGGTTCTGATTGATGGTGTACTTAAAGAATCAAAGTTTCCGTCAACTTTGTTCAAAATAGAATCCAGTGTTATTAACTTGTGAAATTAAGAATAGCACAATATTTTACATCATGATTGTAAAATTGGAAATTGTGGTTGGAGAAAGATTTCTTGGAAAAGAAAATGCAGAATCCTGTATGCAAGGTTCATATTATGTTCCCGAAGGCACATTGTGGTTCGGCCTGCAGTCTCCCACTGATGTCAGTACGTTCCCTGCCGGCCCGTCACGTTTTGATGGGGTCTGACACGTTTGTCACGTGCTGTCAAGGCTTTCTACGGATGAAACGTGGACGCCGGAAAGCTTTGAAGTAGGTTTGTGCCCACGGTATAAAAAAGGGCCTTCCAAGCAATATGGCAAAAATCATCCAACAACGATGGAAAACGCCATTAAAATCAACAACAACAACAATAGCATTCATTGTATCCTGAGATCAGTGCGTTGTGTCAGACCGTAGAAGAAGGCAATGCGCCTTAGCGCGCCGGGCCCCTAAACCGTCCCACTACGAATCGCCTCCAAGTTGTGTTACGGCCTATACGTACTGTCTCGTTTTGTTGCGTTCACCCTGTTTTACTACGGCCTACTAGGTTTCTCATCCGCACCGTGACTGCCGTGGCAATTATTTTGACAGTTTAAAAATCTGGCCCGGCATCAAAGGCAATCAGGCCTGTCACGTTTGCCCATCCCCCCCCCGCGTTGTCTCACGTCTATCCCGTTTTATCCACGGTGGCCTGAAACGTTATTGCCGTGGCCGCCGGGGACATAGTGTAAACGTAGCATTAAATCTAGTAAGTGTCCGGACACGCCCCCCCCCCCCCATCATAAATTTGTGTATAATTTTCGCCCTGTGCGGTTTTTATTTCTTGAACACGCAAATTGCATAGACAAATTGAGCTGCAGTAAACCAATTTGGCTCTTATCTGTTGATTAAGCCTAAACGAAGTGCTTAACGTGTTTAGAGTACGATTAGAAATATATTGAACACGGGCCCATTACCAGAGGGGAGTTCGCGGTATGAATAATCGGGATTACGTCAGATTTATACATGTAAATGTCATTAATAAAGAAGTCGTAACTTACAAGCCTTCGAGGGAGGTAATCCCTTTGAAGGTATCTGGTTCGAGATTTGTCAGTTGGACATTCACCATGTTTCTATGGAGAGGGAAAGAGAGAGAGAGAAAAAACAATAAACGACAATATAATTTTGTGAGACAATTAAGAGCGAGCGCTATTAACGCCTAACATGGCGCTACATAAGCTTCATAATACACTATGAAAATGTAGGGCAATATTTTTTCAACACTTTGCCCAACGTTGTGCCAATAGTCAAGTCAACCATCTGTTGGGCAATATTTTGCCCAGTGGTATTGGTAAACGTAACTACCCTACTTCACACATGCATAATTTTTTCGTATGTTGACCAAAACTTGGGCAAAGATATGACCTTTCAACTGCCCGACTACGGTAGCCCACTTGTTGGGAAAATCTTGACCAACTGTTGGGCAAAATACGAAAATATTGCCCAATAGATGGTTGGGTTGACTATTGGCAAAGTGTTGGAAAATATTACCCAACCTTCCCACAGTGTAAGGCCAGGCGCGTAGGCAGGGGGGGGGGGGGGGGTTGAACCCCCCATCAGTTTTTGTTAATGTTTTTTGTAATTTAAACCAAAAAAATTATGCCAATGGCTGACCTAAAAAAGGTGACCTCACCCCCCCCCCAACGGATCAAAATGTCAAATTTCGAGACCCCCCCCCCCCGCTTACTCAGCGGCTCGCTGAGTCGTTGCGAAATTTTCGGCCCGATTTAGAAATGTTAACCCCCCCCCCCCTTGAAAAAAATCTTGCGTACGCTACTGTGTAAGGCACTATACAAGAAGCAATCATTATAACCTCATCATCAGATTGATGCTAGTTTTTCACGATTGGCTACAACAAGCAAATTGATTAGATTGTTGGACATTATGTGTACAAGTTCCAAAGAACTTATCAATGTAATAATTGACGTGCAGGGGATAAACTCTTAACATTACAAACTTTAGCTAGTCTTTCAGCTGCTCTATATGTATATGATAATGCTATTAGACGAGTTAGTTTTCCTAGACTAGACAAATAAATACATTATGACAGGCATATTTTGTTAAAATATCTGTTTACAAGAATTTTCATGGGGATGCGGTATATGAAACAAATACTGACTGCTTATTTTTCGGGCGAGTAAAACTAGCTCCTTGGTAATGTGGGGACTGCACTATGCCCCTCTACTGAGTCGAAATGACATTGGGCAATAGTTTTAGCCGTGCCACTCAAAGTAAATAATGTATGATATTACGCATCCGAATAGTCAATATCTGTATAGTATTTCGAACTAGCAGTGCTTAGCTCACAAACTTACAGATATTCTAGCCGACTCAGATTCTGGAAAGTCCCTGGTTCGATGTATTCCAGCGGGTTGTCAGAGAAAGACCTGAAAGAGAAAAGGTGCAAAAATAGACTGGATTAAATCATTTTACTATCTCACGTATTGCTACGTCACTACAATAAACTTTTTGAGAAGCAATATCATAATCATTATCGTTATCATCATTCTCAACATCAACATCATCGTCACGTCATCATCACTTGGAATGTTACATTCTTTCAAATTCTCTGTGGTCAACACTCTTTCTAGATCATTGATAACTCACGCATTTTTATTTTTTGTCTTCTTATATCGCAAGTGCAATATTGAAAACATCTGCTGTGGACATTGCCCACAAAGTGTCCTGTCGAAAGAATAATTCAAATAATAATCATTTCATATTCTAGCAGTGAATTCCTATTAAAAAAACATAATTCGTGCTGGAGTAGGAAGAAATGAGGAGTAAAATATTAAATCAACTTACACCCAGGTAAGATTCGATTGATCTTCAAACAATCCCTTCCTCAATTCTATGATTGAATTATTTGTCAGGTCACTGTGAAGGGACGAGAAAGGTCAGAATACATGCAGCAGCTTGATAGATGTAAAATAGCTAAAATAACTGACATTATTGATGAAAGACAAAGGGTAACAGTATTTCATTATTTAGTATCATAAAAGCATTTAAAGTACACCAATACGTCATACTGCATACGGCGGGAATATATGTATTTTTTTAACATGTCATACCTCAGTCACACCGCCAAACCGACTTCAGACCGACTCCAAACCGACCGATTATTGGCCATAGACGTCAAGTAATATTTTCGGTCGGTTTGTTGTCGGTCTTGTCGGTATGACTAAGGTATCAAGACGACTCCCCGAGGACAACTATTCCCCTGTCACTTACCTAGGAATAATTAAATAAGGGGTTACGTAGTTATCTGGGTATCATGGACATTTACTGTGACCGACTGAGTACCAGTGTTTTCAAAAACATCTATTCGCTACAGCAGAATAGGGTGGTTTCGATATCTTCTTTAAACGATATATTTGTAAGGCTTTTGGTGGCACAATGGTGGATCAACAATATATTTTCTCTTTGAAGTGTCGAATCAACATGAAATATACTTACAGAAACTCCAGAGTATTAAGTCCTTTGAAAACATCAACATCAATATTGGAGATTTTGTTATCAAAAAGATGTCTGTGGAAAAAAAAGATAAGAAGATTATTGACAGCATTATGCGACATCGTTTTTCACATCTTTGCGGGGGCAATTCAACATTTCTTTTTATTTTTTATTTTTTTTAGATACGGTATTTTTCAAAAAATGTACGTGTCAGAATTGTAAAGTCCATTTTATAAGTAATTAAATCATTATGAGTAATGATTCAGAATTAAATAAAATCATTATCAATAATTTTTCGCTTCTTATCTTCTGTTTTAGTTTTTGTCCTAGTTTATTTGCTATTTTGGTCGAATGGTTAATATGGACTAAATGCTCGATTATGAGACAAAAAGTCCACAAGATTAAAGGTTCATAAGACAAGGCGCTCATGATTATGGACGTCCATGAAACATAGGGCCCATTAGGTCAAAAGCCCATAACACTATAGGCCCAATATACCAAATTAGTCCCGCGAGACCCAAGGCCCACGTGACAGCAGGTGCAGTAAATGAAAGGGCCATGGGACCCCATTCCCACAAAACTAAATTCGAACGAGACCGGCACCCATGTGATGCATGGAGCATGAAACCAATAGCCCAACATATCAATGATTCATGAGACTGGTGGCCCATGAGTCTGAGGTCCGAAGACTGAAATTAACCCTCCACCTTTTTTCACTACGTTTCGGTCTCGGTGACCTTCCACTCTCCAAAGATTAGAAGGTATGTGAGATCGACATATAGCAGAAAAAGACAATAGCCTTGCTGGGTGTAGCAATACTTACAGGTAGATGATACTCTCAAGTCCTCTAAATACTCCAGACGGCAGTGAAGTGATGCTATTTCTATACAGTACCCTGTTTTACGACAAGAAGTTTTATGCAAATAGAAGCGGTGTACAAGGAAGCAGAATAATATTCTCCTGCAGAAAAAGGGCTATTACAAAAAGCGCTTGCTTGACAGCGTTATAGCCCCGGGTGGAGAGGGTGGATGACAAAACGTGACCTATAGTTAAAATCGAGTTTAACAAAGGAATTTCGTCTGAGGTCTAAGTTGTCCCTTTCTTAAACATTGGCATAGACCAAGCCTGGTGTTTAACTAAATAAGTAGAATACGGACAAAATAGTCGATGATCCCTGTTACGAGAAAAAAAAGCCACTCCCGAGCTGGCACTTGTACAAATGACCCCTGAATATCTAAATAAGGATACTTTTTACGTTGTGTATTTATAAAATGATCCAGACAAAAGGGATAGACATTATTCATGAATAAGCCTACATGGTGTTTCACCTCTTGAAAATAATACTTACACCTGTGTGTCATAGAATGGCTGGGCATTAAATAATAATAATAATAATAATACATGAGATTCATATAGCGCCATTATCCATTTTAATTAAATGCTCAAGGCGCTTCAAAATATTAGGAACACATTACATCATGACAAAGAATCGGTACATTTACATAAGAAAGAAAATGCAAAAATGAAAGAAGGAAAGAATGAATGAAATGAATAATTATTACGAAACTTTCACGAACACTTGTCCAGCAGTCGTCTTAAAGGTAAAGACCAGTATTGGAAACGCCCCATATTCAAAAAATGAAATGGAAGCTCTTATTACCAATCATGTGAAAGAATATGTTTTGACTAATACATGATACAAATTTTGCCGGGAAACCGCCTACTAACTGATATATTGGATAAATTAGTTTATCTACATGGTCTGTGAGAGATAAACGCACGTGTCGCGCATGTGTGCGTATAGTCCCATATACATCTTTCTGTGTACAGTGCTTGTAACTTTACGAAGACTGGGCCATATTTCTTATCATTTTGATGATTCCAGAACCTTGCAGTACACACCAATACTTATATGCTAGATGATCAACCTTTTCTGATCGATTCCACAACGTTTCTTTCACAATGCAATCGCATGACCATAACTGGTCTTTACCTTTAATGGGTTTTATAGTTTAGTATGGACGACTTTTATCTGCACAAGGGCAGTACTGTCGATGTGGAACACCCGCCGAAAACCTTGTACAATATACAGTGATAGTAGTATCTTTCTTACAAATTTTGAAGGGCCTCCAATCCTTGAAAGCATCCCGGTTCCAGTTCTATGATTCCCGCGTGATCAATAAGTCTAAAATTACAAAAATCAAAGCAGACAATTAAAAACTCAAAGTTGAATTGTAAAACAACGAGAGATTTTATTTTAGACAATAAAGCAATATCTAAAAATTTTAAAAAATATTTTAAAAAAGAAAATTTAAAAAAAAACAAAGATATATGAAACAAAAACATATATAACAATTTTTTTTTAAAGCCTTACAAAAGAAAAGCAGAAAAGAAAGATAATTAGTAAGTTCACATAGGAAAATCACCAATTAAAAAAAAAATAGTCAAGTTTTAATAAAGGGAAATTAAGAAAGGCTTATCACGCCACGCTGTGTTTAAATCAAAGTTGAGTATTATATGTCTTTTATTCCCTAAAAAGCGTAGCGATAGTATGCACAATCGGTCACGTCAAATATCATATAAAATGTACACATACAGCGTTTATGCACACTTGTACAAGTATTGCTTTTTAGTGGACCCCTCTGTTTCCAATATGTATTCCTAAATTGTTGTAAATATTTATAATTGATTTGTAATGTTTTGTTGGAAACATATATAAATTGAAGATTGAAACTGAAAACAGTATCAATAAAACAAAACAAGGAACTTCAGCGCAATAGAAATAGTGAAAAACGTAGATGAAGAAGTGTATTAAAAAGGCACAGTTAATATTTTATGGAAGTCTGAAAATATTTCGTTATGATTACTCTAGATAAATAAATAATATTAGGCGACTGTTCTTACTTTAGCCTCTGTTGGAAACAAACACGAATATTCCGGTTTGTTTACCCGATAGGGGTAAAACTTTCCCCAACTCTCTTAAGATGATTCGATTTAAAAAAAAAAAATTAAAAGTCACGACAAGGCTCATTGTAGAATATCTACCCATTTATTTTTTTCGTGAGGGGGGGGGGGGGGGGAGACAGGGAGGGCTAGATTACTTTACTCACAGGTCTTCCAAGTGAAAAGCTTTGAAAACGCGCGCTGGTAAAACCGCAATTCTGTTGAACCTCAGGTCTCTAGATAAAAACAAAACAAAACAAAACGTACATCAGTGCAGTTAAATCAGTCTTAGTGGCTACCACTCTATAAAGGCGTTCTGTCTACAGTGGATACATTTTTGTGTTTCCCTTGTATGGTCTTAATTAACAGGTTTGACTGTATAGGACTTTAACGTTATTCGGAGAAAAAAAAAGAAAAAATGTAATGTATACAAAAAGGAATATGATTTTCCCCACGTTCAGAAAACCACAATTAATTAGGTAAAATTATAACTTAGCGATATGAAAAATCCCTTTTCTTAAAATAACAACAAAAATTCTTTCTGAAATTGACGAGAACAAAAAATCACGAGTGAAACATAGTTTGTAAAATGTGTGAAAGCTGGTACTTTCGGACTAATCGTGTACAGCCTTAAAATATTACAATGGACAAAATATTAATATCATTATTAAAAAGATGATATGAACAGCAATGTGCTGCAAGATTGTATTGAAACGTCTGTTTAATTAGTGTTAATATCATTATTATCATTTTTTACCACTGATAATATTATCATCACTATCTTGTTCATGACCATCATTATCGTTGTTAATATTATTATTAATAATGGTATTATTATTATCAATTATTAAACTCACATTTCTGTAAGACTAGTCAAACCGGAAAATGTGTCACTCGACAATGATTCAATCACATTGCGAGACAAATACCTGTAGATAGAGAAAGGAGAATTAATTAACTTTATGTATTTACAGTGAATGGTAAACACAGAGTCAGCTAGGGATAGTGGGAGATAGAGAGAGAGATGAAGAGGAAAATAAAAAGGGCACTAATATAGCACATCGACACGGTTTTGTTCCTGGGGGCTCACAGTAACGAGGCCATTGCTTAGCCAATGAATGAATCAAATGACTGTACGCAGCGGGCGCTAGGGTACGTCGACGCCCCCACAAAAACAAAAAAAAAACAAAGAAAATGCAATAAATTTTCAATAACTCATTGCATTTTCCCCCAGTCCCTAACAGGAAAAATTCCTCTGTAGGGCCATGCATTATGGTTCAAGGCATGCCCACATAGAAGAAAACAAATTATGTTGGGGTCGGGGCAAAATACAATGAATTATTGAAAATGTATTGCATTTTCTTTGTTTTTTTGTTTTTGTGGGGGCGTCGACGTACCCTAGCACCCGCTGCGTACAGTCATGATTTATTGGCTAAGCAATGGCCTCGTTACTGTGAGCCCCCAGGATCAAAACCGTGTCGATATGCTATATTAGTGCACTTTTATGAGGCATTAATCCCCATTACTGTCAGTTATGACTTAAGGACGTAGGTCCCCTAGTTGATTAGCATAGTAGCACACACATGCTTTAGCAGTCACGCAAAACAAACACTCCCCAATTGTCATTCAATAAAATCTAAGAATGTATACTATTATCTAGATCTATTAGGAATAAATCATTGCCAAAATGATTCAATAAATTGAGGTAAAAATAATTATTCCACCATTATGACTAACAGTGTATATTATGTTCATATATTATTATTACTATTATTTATTATAATTTTTGCTATTATATACTATCATTATCCGTGGTAACTTATCTACCCTTCAATATCATTTAATATAATAGCATTAAAGTAGATATACAGCGAATAAGATCGACGACGCATTCAATTTGAATAGTTTGTAAATTTGTCATTCACCGATAATTATCATGATTATTCTTGATAAAAACATACTCAAGCGAAGTAGAACGTAACGCTTTTAAAGCATTATGGACACTTACAGTGATGTCAATTTGTTTAAATCACGGAAACTGAAATCCTCAATCCGTGTTATACTATTGTATGACAGGTCTCTGCAAAAATAAAAAAATATACATACAATCTGTCAATTATGAAAATTAGATCTGTCATAGTTTCGTCCCATTTAATAGATGTATTTTTTTAAATTGGAGAAATATAACGAACTTGATTGCCATCTATAATAATAATACGCTAAGGCTCCGCGGGGGGCGCGACGTCTCCGCCAGCCTTTGTATTCTATTGTTTTTTAATGAGATCGCCGACCGAAGTTGGTGCAGCTATCTCCTCCTGAACCCTCCCCTCGGGGTACCCGTGCCCTGTGCCATCGTCCGCGGGAGAGTCTACTCTGTGGAATTGGCTATACTCCGCCCGAGGTCCTCCTCCGTGTCGACGTCCAGGGCGAAAACAGACGCGATATGCATAATGCAGGATATGCGTGACGACAGAGATACCTCATGGATATTCAACATTACATCCGTAGACACACGACCGATGACTATCCACTCACATTAAGTTGCGTATTAAATGCACGACGCACAGGGTCGGGCTTACCCGAGTAAAGCATCTTTCTATAGGATATCCTTTGTATAGTAGCTGCACAAGCCACAGAGATACACACGAAGCTTCCCGTCCACGTCCAAACTTAGGGACCTATTTCCATCATTATTGCCGCGATTTTTATATAGTTTTCATGAATGGAGGTATGAAATGAAAGCTTATTTTGTGATTATTACGGCCATGCTACTAAATTTTGATTATCATTTTCTAAAGGAATGTTTTCACAAGAAAACCATTGGACTGACAATTCAGTCGCAAGCTGCCTTCAGTCAGTGCAGTGCTGCTGTGCAGTGTGTGTGAGCTGCAGTTAACTCCAGCAAGCTCCAACACCGGCTCCGCGCACCGCAGGCGTCCGAGGCCTGCGGCGCCGGTGTTCGAGCTTTCTGGAGTTACGCTGTGTGTGTGTGTGTGTGAGTTCAGCTGAGCTGAGTTCGAGTCGAAGAGATTTGACACTTTGAAATTGTTATCTGTTGGTTTGCATCATTATTGCCGCGATTTCAATATAGTTTCGTGAATAGATTTACGAAACCTGAGCTTAGAATTAGTAAAAGTATTACTAATGTCTACGTTTTTAAACGACTGTCTGATTTTCTTGTGAAAATTTTACTTTGAAAAATAATTATCGAAATTTATGGTCAGAAATAATCACAATCTAGGGTCTATTATGTTACAGTTCTTGCATCAAATCAATGCATGAAAACTTAGTTATTGAACTAGAAAAATGTTTTTTTTTAAATAGGCAATTATGAAGTATAGGAAGCCTGAAACCTGTCCTGAGCCTACTAAACAAATCTTAACAAAGTGTAGGCCTATCCTTTTATGAATTAATGAAAAAGTAGCCCCAGAAAAAAGAGCCCCCGAAAGTTGGAAAAAGTAGTCCCCGAAAATTTCCCAAAAATTTGAAATGGAGCCCCCGAAATGAAAAACTTAATTTTTTGCCTGCGCCCCCCTCTAGAATCCCTCGGATTTCCGCGGGTCCTGAGTTGAGTGTATATATAATATAGGCGTGGGGTCCACGGGTTTCAAGGGGCCATAAACCCCCAAAAGCTCGGGGGTTACGTTCTTCAAAGTTGGGGGGTGGGAGATCGAGATCAGATCGCAGCGAGTTGAGTGTATATATAATATAGGCGTGGGGTCCACGGGTTTCAATGGTCCATAAACCCCCGAAAGCTCGGGGGGTTTAGGTGTTTAATTAGGGTCAGATGAGCATATTTTTAATACTTTATTTGTGACACTTGCGGGTCACTAATTGGCGTGGGGTCAATACGTAGAGTTGCGTAGTGTTGCGTACAAACTACGCTGGCCTACGTTACTACATGCTGAGGAACGAAAAGGGGTACGCAAGATGAAAGAAAACAATTCAACATGTTTAATTTTTTTTGCGTACTTTCGGCGTAGAAACTTGACGCAGAAAGCAGCCTTTTTACGCAACACTACGCTACATGCCTACGCAACAGTACGCTACCCTACGCCAGATCGACAAAGCAGTAAAAGCTTTCCACACAGTAAGCAACCATAAGCAAACCTGTACGCCAGCCTACGCATAACCTACGCAGGGACTATTTTCCCATTAATACGCAGCCTAATTTCTGCGTAGTCGGTACGCTACACTACGGAACTCTACGTAGTTCCAGTGGCTTAAAGAATAATTACCGGTACAGTTGGATCGTTTTTTAATTTTTATATAAGGCCAAATTAAAAAAACAACATTTTTAGCATCCTGTTTTTTTCGAAAAATGGGAAGGAGGAGGCCCTTATTTTTTTTCTTTCAAAATGGCCGCTCCGTACATTTTCCCTGACATTCGGGCTATTTTTCAAGATAGCGGCCGACAATTTTTTTTTTCTTATTTAAAATCAGAAATACATTTTAGCAGTGCTTTTCATGTTTTTTTTCTTTCAAAAAAAAAAATAAATAAATAAAAAAAAAAAAAAAAAAAAAAAAAAAAAAAAAAAATAGGAGGCGGCCCCCCAAAAAGGAAGCAGGCGGGGACGCTGTTTTTTTTTCTTTCAAAAAAAAAAAAAAAAGGAGGCGGCCCCCAAAAAGGAAGCGGGCGGGGACGCTAAACATGTATATTTTTTTAATGGCCTGAATGGCAAATAAAGTTCATGGTGGTTTTAATTTAGACAGTCTCTATATATCTATTTACACCCCCCCCCCCCGCCCACCTCTAGAATCCCGCGGATTTCCGCGGGTCCTGCTAGTTAAATTATAATTGTAGAATTTATGGTATCCTCCAAACATGGAATATTTAGGCTTAATTGTAATTAGCATATGGCAGTAGTAGAAAATGGAGAACAGAATATCATACAATGATTACAATTAGTGCTCACTTCTTTATAAAGTTATGTTATGATTCAATAGTTGCTATTACCGTTGCTAAATTGACACAATAAATATATATAGAAAAAATATTATTTTACTCACATAGTTGTCAGACTAGTTAAACCTATAAAGGTATCATTTGACAATGATCTAATAACATTGTGAGACAAATCCCTGCAAGGCAAAAGAGAGAAGAGTTCATAACATACACTTAAACACACACACACACATGCACTCCCACGCACGCACACGAATATGCGTACAACCATTATGTACCATCGTTATCACTATCGTCATTTATTTGGTAGAAGTATTATCAAGGATGAGTATGACGATTAAAATTAAAAAACGCAAGAGATGTAGGCTTTGTGATACAATGCGATGTAATTTATAAACATTTAGCACACCGCAATTTCTGAATTGTATCCATAATCTTAAATTGACTATTAAATTTTCTACTCCCGCATTGGTTCCCTATCACAAATTAAAATATGTAGATCATTCCAGGAACTTTCTGACCGTGTCTTGAATTTACGTTTAACAAATATGATTTCGAACATCTGGACATTGCGAAATTTAAATATTTTTATTATCCATTTTTAGTTCATTCAATTACGCTAAACAGTGATCGTTTGCTGGAAATAGCAAATGTTTTCCAACGTTTAAAAACTGATAAATGTACAATTCAGAAAGGAAAATTTAAAGGCACGCATGTAATATGAGCCTTAAAATAACTAAGCTTATGTGTAGAAAGTTGATTGTTAAAACTTATATTTCTGACAGACTGTTCAAACCGGTATTATTCGACAATGAACCGATGATATTGTAAAATAACAACAAAAATTCTTTCTATAATTGACGAGAACAAAAAATCACGAGTGAAACATAGTTTGTAAAATGTGTGAAAGCTGGTACTTTCGGACTAATCGTGTACAGCCTTAATATATGACAGAGGACAAAATATTAATATCATTATTAAAAAGATGATATGACCAGCAATGTGCTGTAAGATTGTATTGAAACGTCTGTTTAATTAGTGTTAATATCTTTATTATCATTTTTTACCACTGATAATATTATCATCACTATCTTGTTCATGACCATCATTATCGTTGTTAATATTATTATTAATAATGGTATTATTATTATCAATTATTAAACTCACATTTTTGTAAGACTAGTCAAACCGGAAAATGTGTCACTCGACAATGATTCAATCACATTGCGAGACAAATACCTGTAGATAGAGAAAGTAGAATTAATTAACTTTATGTATTTACAGTGAATGGTAAACACAGAGTCAGCTAGAGATAGTGGGAGATAGAGAGAGAGAGAGATGAATAGGAAAAGAGAGAGTCAGAGATAGACAGAGAGAGAGAGAGAGAGAGGGAGATTATTGATTATTGATTATTCTAGATAAAAACATACTCAAGCGAAGTAGAACGTAACGCTTTTAAAGTATTATGGACACTTACAGTGTTGTCAATTTGTTCAAATCACGGAAACTGAAATCCTCAATCCGTGTTATACTATTGTATGACAGGTCTCTGCAAAAATAAAAAATTATACATACAATCGGTCAATTATGAAAATTAGATCTGTCATAGTTTCGTCCCATTTAATAGATGTATTTTTTTTAAATTGGAGAAATATAACGAACTTGATTGCCATTAAATTATAATTGTAGAATTTATGGTATCCTCCAAACATGGAATATTTAGGCTTAATTGTAATTAGCATATGGCAGTAGTAGAAAATGGAGAACAGAATATCATACAATGATTACAATTAGTGCTCACTTCTTTATAAAGTTATGTTATGATTCAATAGTTGCTATTACCGTTGCTAAATTGACACACTAAATATATATAGAAAAAATATTATTTTACTCACATAGTTGTCAGACTAGTCAAACCTATTAAGGTATCATTTGACAATGATCTAATAACATTGTGAGACAAATCCCTGCAAGGCAAAAGAGAGAAGAATTCATAACATACACTTAAACACACACACACACACACACACGTACGCACACACTCCCACGCACACACACACACACACGTGCCCACACATGCACTCCCACGCACGCACACGAATATGCGTACAACCATTATGTACCATCGTTATCTATATCGTCATTTATTTGGTAGAAGTATTATCAAGGATGAGTGTGACGAATAAAATTAAAAAACTAAGCAAGAGATGTAGGCTTTGTGATAAAATGCTATATAATTTATAAACATTTAGCACACCGCAATTCCTGAATTGTATCCATAATCTTAAATTGACTATTAAATGTTCTACTTCCGCATTGGTTCCCTATCACAAATTAAAATATGTAGATCATTCCAGGAACTTTCAGACCGTGTCTTGAATTTACGTTTAACAAATATGATTTCGAACATCTGGACATTGCGAAATTTAAATATTTTTATTATCCATTTTTAGTCCATTCAAGTACGCTAAACAGTGATCGTTTGCTGGAAATAGAAAATGTTTTCCAACATTTAAAAACTGATTAATGTACAATTATTGAGAGGAAAATTTAAAGGCACGCATGTAATATGTGCCTTAAAAAAACTAAGCTTATGAATAGAAAGTTGATTGTTAAAACTTATATTTTTGTCAGACTGTTCAAACCGGTAAAGGTATTATTCGACAATGAACCGATGATATTGTAAGATATATCCCTGTAGGCAAAAGAGAACCGTTAAAAATGTTACTAAGGATGTATTAATACAACTAATACAATTACTAGGTGGTTCAATCAACGGCAAAGGTTTTGCTCTCGGTGCAAGAAATTCTATACTGTATTCAAAATATGATCTTCAAATATTTCTTATAGAAAGGCATAATTGCAGTTTGAAATGGACTTCAAGTAACAGTAAAGGGACTTGTTGAGTTGACTAGTTGACGCACGCGTTCACAAGTAAAGTCGGACTCAGGTTCCTGTAACCAAATCCTTTTGCATTACAATGACCAAAAACAATGTCAAAGATATTTAAAGACCGTCAATACTACTTGGCCAGAAGGGATAAGACCACACAGCGAGGTCACTGACAGGTGGCTATCTCATAAACTTAATTCTCAACTAACATAAGAAAAAGAGGATCATGGGGGACCAACGATTGGGGAAGTTTTCTATATAGAGGGAGCAAGTAGCTACAAGTAGGATAGTGGGGCTTTAAATGCTCATTTCTGTAATATCATTACGTTTATTATTGTCTGTCATTGTTTGTATTATGTGAAAAGGTATGAAAAATAAATTCTCTCTGTATAAAGCTACTACTACTACTACTAATAATATCTATTATTTTATTCATACTCCTTAAATGGAGTGCAATTTATTTGTTAAGGTTGATTTTCTACATTCTAGCCAAACAGCATTTTCCCTCGGTGATTGGTGCTCTATAAAAACCATTAAATTGTATACATTACATACTTTATTCAAATGATTTTTTTCATACTCACAGCATGGTCAACTTGTTCAAATTGCTGAAACTAAGATCCTCAATCCGAGATATGTTATTGTACTGTAATATCCTGAAAAAGTGATTAGAAAATTTCATATACAGAACAAAAGAGATTTTAATTCGGTGATCTAGATAATCTACGTCGGGTCAACCGTTTACTCAGTGAAAGACAGGTCGGACTAAAATTCTACCAAAGCTTCTTCCAATCTCTACCCAATCTTTCAATACCTAAAAAAAATATTTCGAAACTTACCTGCTCTGTTTAGCATAATTGCAAATCGTAGTTGAACTTTGAAGATGCACTACAAAGTGCATTATTATTTTGTTTTATTGTTATTAGTAGTAAGCATTTCAATGAGCAAGATGAGATATCAGGGGTGAATCTGGAGGAGCGTGTTACTAACTTAACGTTACTAGCGCCCATGGGCAACTAGGGTAAAAGCCAGGGCACCGTGACTATTAATAATAGGCACCGTGATCTTTCCAGGGGATGGATATGCGGGCAATATAGTTTACAATTGATGCATTATTATGATCTATCAACACTCGAGTTGAGGCTGTATGCATATATCGTAAGAAGCTGTCAGGCTATAGGTGCATAAACAGTTTCAACAAGAGCAGATATATTGTTAATGAACGAATGAAAACATGCACACTTGATGTAAAACTAATTCATTGTTTCGTGTCATTGTCACTGAAGAATAAATAATCGGGATAAATAAAAAGTCTAATAGGCTTACTTTAGCGTGTACTCAGAAATAGTCGCATTATATACCTATATACACATTTACGGACAGTGCTACTCAAGTTTGGGCCCCTACAAGATATAAGTACACAAACCTCAACGCGCCCTGCTATGCATCGTGTACTTAAAATCGTTGGATAGTACTAGAAACTACTGCACGTTTTTTCATGAAATGAAGAAAATAACGTGTGATAGTCTGATGAAATTAATCACACGTGGTTGGCCAATCATTTGATTAGGATCTACGAGTTTTTGTTGAATAGATGTAGATATTATAATCTTTATTATTATTATTATTATTATCATTATTATTATCACCATTATCACTATCATCATTAGCATTATTATTATTATTATAATTATCAATTTTAGTTTTACTATTTTTATTATCATTCTTCGTCTTAATATCAATCACCTTCCCCTGTGCATAGTTTTATTGCCATTTACAATTCTCTCTTTTTTTTTTACAAATCTCACACTCGCATTTGCCTATAAACTATTTTCAGTTACATATTGATTCATGGTAATATAAACATTAATAAAACTTACATAATTCTGATTTCTGTCAGTGTCAGGAAATCCGCTCGAAGAAGTTCCCTTAGTCCGGTGTTGTAAATCCTTCTGCAAGTCATGACATGATAAGTATATGGAATTCCTTATTAATAATAGACGTCAATTAGGTTTCTTAGCCTTTGGGGTGATTATGATAGTTCTTCGTAGGCCGAAACAGAACGTTTCGATAAATGTAGATACCTGACGGAGGTAAACAGCTCGAAAACCCAGAATTCAGAAAGGAAACGATCAACATATTATAATAATAAAAATGTAACTTATATCGCGCCAAATCCACTCTGTGGAGTGCTCAAGGCGCGTGTAAACAGGAAAAACGATCAAGACTTGAAAAGGAATGTTTTGAGATGAGTTTTGAAAGAATCAGAAGACCACATACCACATAACCACCCCAAAATTCGCATAGTGTGGTTTTTAGATGGAGCTCAATAAAGGTCTATTTGGTCAGGATAGTCAAATTTTAGTTTTCTCCCTTTGTCTAAAAGAGTATACTTGTTTGCTATATAATTTATAAATTTGGAAGCACAAAACTGAATTGAATTGAATTGATTTATTGTCCATAATATGGAAATTCATTGTTCACTGAAACAGATTTAAAAGTGGTGTTTTTTGCAGTATTTTGTAGACTTATGTTTTTTGTTCTGAATTTGTTGTAGTAGTTTGGATTTATTTAGGACTGGTCATATTTTGATATTCAATATATATATATAAACTACAAAATTCTAAAATACTCTAATGAATATTTTACTAAGCGCTAGCTTTGTGGTCCTTACAATCGTAGTAAAAGCGGGTATGTTGTCACGTTGAATGGCATCGATAATGGCATCTTCGTTCCGTTGATCCATTGCCCAATAAAATATCTGCAAAGAAGAAGAAGAGGAAGTAGAAGAAGAAGAAAGAAAGAGGCTTAAGAAAAATAAAGGCTGTCACGTGTGCCTTTGGATTTAACAAAGAATATTGTATAATACTGTCCAACATAGGTTTTAAAGATCGTTGAAATGTGCTTCTAAAATTCATCAAAATGGTGCATTTTCAAATCAGCTGTCAAGATAACCAACCTCTCCAGACACACGACGTGTTGCTAATGTTATTCATGTTTTCATATTGCTTGAAAAATGAAGAATTTAGGGGGTTAGCGAAAATTCTAAGATGTAGTTTCTCCTCTAACTTACAGATCTCTTGATGATTTTGTAATGTTGGTATCATCAACAATGTTACGCCCTTCACAAGATACACTGTAAGCAGAACATCGACAAGACGGCACGCAATCTAGCGGATCTTTAAAAAAGAGAAACAATGGTGTCTTTTACTGATATATGACTATTAACTATATTTCAATACCACGTAATCGTACACTTATAAATCTACATCAACAGTAAATGTACTTCGTCTATTTATCTCCTTTATAGATCAAGCTTAACTCCTTCCTTTCTCACTCCCAAATCCCGAAAACAGACTGGCTTCAAATCCTTTGAATCCGTTGCTCTATGCCTATACCGTGTGAGCCAAAAAAAGTTTACACCAAGAAAATTGCTAATTATTTAAAAAATCATCAATGAACACTAAATTAGTATACATCTTATGAAAGGGTGTCATATCTCAAATCGTTTGGAATTATTTTGGTGTGGTACACTGTATGTGTTCACGCTTAGATGAACAGGTGGCATTGTTTGCGAGAGTCCAAAAATCGACTTGCGCCAAAGTGATGCCTACAGCATGTATTATGTTGGGATTAGCGGAGTGAGAGAATGAAATGAATGTTTCAAATGAAATGCATTGCATATGGTCTTTGCAGAAGCAAAGTCACACACGCACACACACACTAGCACAAACGCTCGTTGATATTTGAAATTCAATATTTGATATGTGTGGCATGATTAATTTTGTTAGGGATTTCGTAAGATGTATAATAATTAACTTTTCATAGATGATTTTTAAAATAATTAGCAACTTTCTAGGTGTAAACTTTTTTTCTGACTCACACTGTATAACAAATTTCTTTCATTTCTAAGAAATAGTAATTCACTTGACTTCTTAAAAAACATGTGAAAACATACCTCTGTAGGTCTTCTTATTTTGTTCATAGACTAAGGGACAGCGCCTTGTATCCTCTGGAAGAGGCGCAAAATCTTCTTCTAATTGTTATTATTATTATTATTATTATTATTATTATTATAATTATTATTATTATTATTATTATTATTATTATTATTGATATTATCATCATTATCGTATAATTATTATTGTTTGTTCATCATAGTCATCATCATCATTATTATCATTATTATACATGTATCATTATTGTGAGTAAAGAAGGATGTGGATTTATATACGAAATAACAATTTGCAAACAAATCAGACTTTACCGCATAATATCTCATCGATGCCGTTCTGTTCACAGTCAGCATATCCATCGCAAACATAGTCCAGTGGTATACATTCATACGAATCCTCGTAGTCACACATGTATTCTGCTGAACTGCAATATTCATTATCTGGCGGCGTAAAAGAGAAAGATAATCATGACATTTCTACACAAAAAAATAAGTGCATTATGCATGATAAAATCTAGTTTGCGGCCGTCCCAGGACAATATTGTGCGACACTTGCTTTCGCGACAGCTCCGCGACAATCTCCTATACTAACCGAATTCCTACCTTCAAAAATGGACCCACCACAGACTATACCTAATCCTAACCCGAAACCAAACCTAAAACCCAAACGATATGCCTCGGTCACAAATGCCATTACGAACTGCTACGAACACCGTACGAACGATTTCAGTCAATGGAAATTCGGGAAGACAATGGAAAAACAGGGAGATTCGTACGAAATTATCGTTCGTACGAACCTTTGTGACCGTATCATTTATACCCTAACCCTAAAACCTCACATCTCCAAAGCGACTCCAAGCCGACACTAAACCGACTGATACTTGGTAATCGGCGGTCTTGTAATGCATTGTTCATTATGTTGTCGGTCTCGGATCGGTCTCCTTGTGTGACTAAGGTATAACCATATACCTTTGACATATATGACAAAATGAAGCCTTAAAGATGAAGTTGAGTTCTGGTCATGCGATTGCATTGTGAAAAAAACGGTGCGGAATCGTCCGAGCATGTAAGAATTTGTGTGTATTGCAAGGTTCTGGAATCATCAAAATGATAAGAAATTTGGCCAAGTCTTGGTAAAGTTACAAACACTGTACACAGAAAGATGTAAATGGGACTACACGAACACGTGGCGTAAAAATCCTACCCTGGAGTTTTACGATGTTACATGACATATTTAGAATATGAAGGCATTTAAAGAGCCATGCTTTTTAGGGAACATGTCTTTATATCTGATGTTCTTCCACACTTGCATAATAAGAATGATAACGCTCACAAATTATTTTCACCTCTTCCAGGGGCGTAAATCCCGGGGGGGGGGGATGGGGGGGCGGGCTGCATCCCCCCTGGTTTGAAGTAGGGGGATTGCCTGTACAATCATCCCCCCCCCCCCCGATATTACAAAAATTATAAGAGGGGGAAAAAAGGAAGAAGAAGAAGAAGAAGAAAAAAATGTGATTGTTTCAATTGCAGCATAATGCATGAGAAATGAGTTATGTATAGCCTACACGTATACAGTATGTCACGATAAGGAAACGTCAAGGCTTCCGCGCTTCGCGCGAGAGGGGAAAACTGAATTCAGATATATTCAATTCAATTCAATTCAATTTTATTGTTTCTCATTTCCAGCAAAAGAATACAGTATTCATAGAAATATCATTACAATAAACAATCAAAGTAGTAACCATGCAATACAAAATATGAATTTAACAGAATTACATATTTGACTATCAAGAAATATTGCTGCTTAAAATAATTTATTAATGTTAAGCTGGAAACCGAGAGGTCCACTGTGAAGCGATGCTTGTAAATCGTGGACCCCTCGGGTGGTAGTATTCAATAATAGTAAGTTACATGAGTAAAATAAGGATAATTGCCAACAGAGAGGACACAAAAGGAGAAACAAAACAATACGCATAACACGAACAATGTACAAAGAAAACAAGGAGAGTGTGAGAGGAGAAGGGATACAGTAAAGAGAAAAGGTTTGCATGTGGACTACAGAAATAGATGAAAGGTGATAACAAACAGAATGAAGGTTGCGCGCAAGATCAAATTTTCAAAAAAAGAAGAACAGTTCAATGAGAGGAAGTACTTGGTAAACGAGTGGTGACGAGTTCTCTGGAGAACATAATACAATCTCAACAATAATGATCATAATTAAAATAATGACAATAGTAATAATCATGAAAATTCCTGCATATAATATACACAGGCAATATAACAAGGAGCTAGGTTTTGTACGGGGCCAGTAAAGATTTCTTTAGATTTCTTTTAAAGACTGAGAGAGAAGGGGAGTTTTTCAAATCAACACGCAAAGTATTCCAAAATTTAGGGCCTTCAAAGATGAATGTTTTTTGTGCGAAAAATGTTCTCAAAAAAGGTAAATGAAATTCTTCTGACTGTCTTGTGGGATATTTATGAAATGTACGATTTTGTTTAAACATATCGTGAAACGCAAATGGAAGAGTACCAGAATTGAATTTATACATAAATTCACCTAGATGTAATAAGTATCGATCGTTAATTTTTAGGATATTATGTTCAAGGAACAGCGGATCCGTATGGGCAAGAAAAGGAGCATTACATATGATACGAATGACTTTCTTTTGTAGTAATACAACTTTTTCCACCAATGTTTGGTACGTGTTTCCCCAAAGCAGAAGTCCATAATTTAAGTATGGTAAAATAAGAGAAGAATAAAGCATAAGCAAAGATCGTTGTGGAAGGTGTGATTTAAATCTGTTAATGATACCAACATTGCGAGATATAGTTTTACAAATATTTTCAACGTGGAGTTTCCAGGATAGTTTACTATCAACCACAACACCTAAAAATGTTGTATGAGAAACTTGCTCAAGAGGGGTGTTGTCAAGAATAATATCAGTGGGTAATGATGTTAAGGAGTTACTGAACAATATGTAGTTCGTCTTCAAGAGATTCAATGACAATTTATTAGCTCTAATCCATTCTAATATTTTTCGCAACTCTGCGTTAATTACATCAACAATAATATTTGGATCACTGTGTGTGAAAAAATAAATTAGTATCATCAGCAAATAAAATGAATGACATAGCATTGGATGATTTATGAAAATCATTCATATAAATAATAAACAATAGCGGGCCTAAAAGACTCCCTTGCGGAACACCACAAGTAATATTTTTAAAATCAGATGCCTGCTCATTTAAAAACACAAATTGTCTTCTGTTAGAAAGGTAGCTCCTGAACCACTCCAAGGCCTTTCCACGGACACCAATATTGGCGAGTTTGTAAAGTAAAATTTCGTGATTTATCGTATCAAAGGCCTTGGAGAAGTCCAGGAAAATACCAACTGTGTGAGAAGACGAGTCAATTGAATGGGCAATTTTTTCAACAAAAGACATTAAAGCATGAACACTACTATGTTTTTCCCTGAAACCAAACTGAAAGTTGGATAAAATATCATATTTCTTCAGGAAAGCAATCATTCGAGTAAATACTATTTTTTCCAAGATTTTGGAAAATGAAGATAACAAGGAGATTGGCCTGTAATTACCTATTTCAAGTTTATCACCTTTTTTGAATAGGGGAATAATTTTTGCTAGTTTCATGGAATCAGGAAATTCACCATGCAGTAATGATAAATTGAATATATGGACTAATGGGTCGACAATAAAAGGAATAATGGCTTTCAAAATAACATTACTAATTCCATCGAAACCCAATCGTCTGCTTTCTCTAATAATTTATGGAAACGTCAAGGCTTCCGCGCTTCGCGCGAGCGAGGGGGAAACTGAATTCAGATAAATAGAGCTTATTAAGAGTCGAAAACGGTACAACGAATCGTCTGCTTTCTCTAATAATTTAATGAAACGCCAAAACTTCCGCGCTTTGCGCGGGTGGGGTAAACCGAATTCACACAAAGATTAAGAGTCAAGCACGGTTTACCAAATCGTCTACTTTCTCTTATAATTTAATGAAACGTCAATGCTTCCGCGCTTTGCGCGAAAGGGGAAACTGAATTCAGATAAATAGGGCTTATTAAGAGTTGAAAACGGTGCAACGAATCGTCTTCTTTCTATAATAATTAAACCAAACGTCTAAGCTTTTCGCGCTTCGCGCGGGAAGGGGAAACTGAATTCAGACGAGAATTAAGAGTCGAAAACAGTACACCCAATCGTCTGCTTTCTCTAATAATTTAAGGAAACGTCAAGGCTTCCGCGCTTCGCGCGAGAGGGGGGAACTGGATTCAGATAAATAGGGCTTATTAAGAGTCGAAAACGGTACAACGAATCGTCTGCTTTCTCTAATAATTTAATGAAACGCCAAAACTTCCGCGCTTTGCGCGGGAGGGGGGAACTGAATTCAGATAAATAGGGCTTATTAAGAGTCGAAAACGGTACAACGAATCGTCTGCTTTCTCTAATAATTTAATGAAACGCCAAAACTTCCGCGCTTTGCGCGGGAGGGGTAAACCGAATTCACACAAAGATTTAGAGTCAAGCACGGTTTAACAAATCGTCTACTTTCTCTTATAATTTAATGAAACGTCAATGCTTCCGCGCTTCGCGCGAAAGGGGGAAACTGAATTCAGATAAATAGGGCTTATTAAGAGTTGAAAACGGTGCAACGAATCGTCTTCTTTCTATAATAATTAAACCAAACGTCTAAGCTTTTCGCGCTTCGCGCGGGAAGGGGAAACTGAATTCAGACGAGAATTAAGAGTCGAAAACAGTACACCCAATCGTCTGCTTTCTCTAATAATGTAAGGAAACGTCAAGGCTTCCGCGCTTCGCGCGAGAGGGGGGAACTGAATTCAGATAAATAGGGCTTATTAAGAGTCGAAAACGGTACAACGAATCGTCTGCTTTCTCTAATAATTTAATGAAACGCCAAAACTTCCGCGCTTTGCGCGGGAGGGGTAAACCGAATTCAGACAAAGATTAAGAGTCGAGCAAGGTTTAACAAATCGTCTACTTTCTCTTATAATTTAATGAAACGCCAAAACTTCCGCGCGGGACGGGGGGGGGGGAGGGGGAACTGAATTCAGACAAGGATTAAGAGTCGAGCACGGTTTAACAAATTGTCTACTTTCTCTTATAATTTAATGAAACGCCAAAACTTCCGCGCGGGACGGGGGGGGGGGGGGGGGGAACTGAATTCAGACAAGGATTTACAGTCGAGAACGGTACAGCAAATCGTCTCCTTTTTATAATAATTTAATGAAACGCCAAAGCTTTTGCGCTTCGCGCGGGAGGGGGGGGGGGATTCATTCAGACAAGGGTTAACAGTAGAGAACGGTACAATAAATCGTCTTCTTTTACTAATAATTTAAGGAAACGTCTAAGCTTCCGCGGCCTATTTAGGCCTATCACCCACACACCCCTAATGAGCGAGCGTGTGTGCGAGTGTGTGTGTGTGTGTGTCTTTGTTGTGTGTTTGTGCGTGCGCGATCGCGCGCGCTTGCGTAGATTAGTGTGGGCGTGTGCTCCTGCTAGTTATCGCCGATCATCCCCCCACTCCTCGGTACGGATTTACGCCCCTGACCTCTTCCCAGAACTCAACCTTCTCTTTAAACAATTATCGCAAGAGCTTATGTCGGGTCACCCCTTGGAGAGCTTGGGCCAGACAAAGAAAATGAAAACATCGATGTTTACTTAATAATGATAATAATAACTAGACATCGAATTCGTCAGGGCGACGAATTAGGTGATCTGCCGCTGATGAATTTTTGAAAAAGTATGTAAAACTATGGAACAATGGGAATCACAAAACAAATTGCCAAGATGGTTATCAGTTTTTGACGTCATGTCCTCACTATTTATCAATAATATGGTTGAATCCCATTAATTTCCCTTTTTATTCCCCGAAAATTGATTTCCCCTAGCCTTTGCCCAGGTTATATGATTTGTATCATATTGCGTGTATGACATTTCACATAATCTTTTATGAACTTTGAAGAATTTATATTATTTTCTGAATATTGTTTATTCATAATTATTGATTTTGATATAAATTGTTTATCAAAATTCACATTTTTCATGATTTAGCTGGAAAAAAAATTAGTCTATATTAGTGCATCCACACAAAAACATATTACTATTAATCTAACTTGTATCCTGGTGTGAAGAAAAAAGATTCTTAAGGAGAAAATAGGAAATTTATATCATCAATATAAATAAATTAATTAGTGGATAGTGAGGACATGACGTCACAGACTCAGGAGTGAGTTGCCAATTTGTCTAGTGATTTTCGAAGTTTTTAATGTAATTAAAAATTCATAACTTTCTTATTAGTTATCCGATTTTGCTCAGACTTATTTTGATCGGTTTGTCTGATTTTCCTGCTTCTATTGAAAGTAAGTTATTTTTGAGTGGACTTGGGCTTTAAGTTCCCGGCGTCCACGGTAACCCCGTTTGCCCAAAGCGTAGTGCGCCGTGGGATTTTGGCCATTTTCCTCCGTATTCAAGTTTGTTAGGTCTTGCCCAGTTTTTTGTATTACGTACTGTCACGTTTTGTTGCGTTCACCCCGTTTTACTATGGCCTACTCTAAGTTTCTCATCTCCCGCGTTGTTTTAGGTCCATCCTGTTTTGCCCAAGGTGGTCTGAAACGTGATTGCCTGGCCGCTGCAATCTTCCTTTAATGGAGTTTTTAATTTTGAGAAAATCGCCTTAGACTTTTGTCTACAAGAAAATGTACGTCTTTTTTGTCAAAAACCCTTCACTGAATAGAGATTCTTGATATACATTGTTACCTTTCAGTCTTCGCTCTAGTGATCTCGAGGCAGCGGATAGCAAGAAATTGTGTAAAAGGTAATTTTCGTAATGTAACCAAATGTAATGCATAAGTCTTTGTGAAGTGCCTCAATACAAATTATTTCATTCACCTGATAAGAATATTAGTATTTCAATAGACAGAATCCGAGCTGCATACATTAGTTGTTGCCAGGTTGGACAAACATTATGCTTGACCTACCTAGCAACACTTAATATATGCAGTTTGCATTCTGACTTTTGAAATACTATTATTCTTATCAGGTAAATGAAATAATTTGTATTGAGGCACTTCACAAAGACTTATGCATTAACTTTGGTTACATTACGAAAATGGCCCATTAGGGACTTTTAGATTTGCATGTCGACATAGTGGACTGCTATAGGTGTGACATCCTTTTAATTAGGCACTGCCAGTGCCTTAAAAAGGACGTCACACGTAGCAGTCCACTATGTCGACGTGCAAATCTAAAAGTCCCGAATAATAAAAGGGTCTGTCTTATATTATTGCGTCTGTCATCCCTCACTCCCAATGCAAACAAATAACACAATACACTTCAATGATTGTGGGATAGCCTGACACGATTCTAGCTTGAACTTTCAACAACCATGGAGACGGCCGAAGTTGCTGACCTCGTGAGCGCAAAAATTCGAGAAAGCCAAACGGGCCTTCTAAGCCAGCTCGATTCGTTGATTTCTGATAAATAAGGAACTTTTCAGCAGCGTATTAATGACAATCTGAGAGAACTTAGCGAATCTCAAATAGCGAAAATTGAGGAGATGAATAAGGACGTGTTCAAGTTCCGCAAACGTGGTAATGAGGAACAGTACAAAGTTGAAGCTAGAATGATTCAATTACACACTAATTGATGCCACGCCCTGGTCTTCGTGGCAGAATTAACTCGCACACCTGAAAGAGCTGCCTATGCAAATTACATTCTATCGGGGCACGGCCCCGGACCCAACATAAGTATGCATTCATTAACGATACAAACAACAATTGCCTGCTATACAATCGTTCCGCAGAAAAATAATATTCACGGGAGTTGTTGTTAGAAGCTTTAACTACATAAAACTCACATTCTCTCCAATTCTATACGAAAAAAGGTTAGCTTGTGAACCATTTTATCTTAACGGGTGGGGTGCAGGGGGAAGAACCTTTGCAGGGAGTCTTAAAAAGGATAAACCCTTCATTGAATGGGGATTATTGCTATACATTATTACCTTTATTCGCTCCAGTGATCTCGAGGCAGCAGACGGCAAGAAATTGTGTAAATAATAAAGGGTTCACGAGAGTGGTTGTTTAATAGAAGCTTTAACAACATAAAACTTAAACTATTTCCAATTATATACTTGCCGAGAGTCTGGAGGCGGAGCCCATGGAAGTTCTTGAATTAAAAAAATTAGGAAATTCAAAATAGTCGTCACGAGCGATAGAAATTGTAATTTCCCCCTTGAGAGTCACAGAACCCCGTTCATTTCATTTTAGAAATAACCTCTCTTTCTCTCTTATTGTCTTAAAGAGAATTGTATAGAACTTCTGTTTTAGTATTGTACTTTTGTCCGTAGACTTCTTAGGCACATGTCATGTCGAGCCAGCTCATCCGAAATGTAATCTGTTAGTGTAAATTGAAGTTTAATGTTGTTCCTTTTCTTTTCTTTCTCTCTCTCTCTCTCTCTCTCTCTCACACACATTCTCCTTTAACACGGGTTTATGATTCAGAAAGAAAAATAGGGTTTATAAACCTGAACATTTATTGTGTTATACCGAAGATCCGTTTATCCGGAGGTTCGTAATTCCGAAATTCGATACAGATTTGTTTTAAGTCATTTCGTTTTAGGAATAATGAACCTTTGGAATATCCCCAACGTAACGTATCAAAACAAAACAACAGCTCAAGCAATGTCAGCCTGCAAAATTTGTATAACTTACCGCAAATGTATTCATCATCTGAATACGGGCACTGGTATTGTCCATCACATACGTCATCAATGTCAAAGGTCAGACTACTGTTGACGCAAGTAAAGCGCCCTTCATATCCATCGATTGTAGAATTTGTTGAAATAGCTGCAAAAAAAAAAAGGTTTCAAGAAGAAGTTCATTTAAAAGTGATGTAATTAAGATTTCTTTCCAAAGGGGGGGGGGGGGGGGGGGGCTTTCAAAGTCTTATAATTGCAGTATTATGCTTTATTAGCGCATGTCTATAACGCAAATGAAATGTTTGTACTTTTCGAAGTATACGTCTCCAATAGCTAGTGTCAAGTGTCAACGACATGAAGACTGATATATCAACATATATGTTTATTATTTACATTGACCCCTATACCAATCCACTGCCTGGACTACTTCTGTATAGCGCGCCCAATATGCTGAGAATATAAGACACCCTCAACGCTAAAAGAAAGACAGTCCTTGCCTTCTTTCTTACCAAACTTTTTTCGACGGTTGTATTTTGGGAGATCGCGCGATCAGTGGAGACACAGCACTGTGCGGGGTGTGCGGGTGTGTTTAAGTAGGAGGACACAGATGATTGAAGAATACAAATATATGAAAACGGAAATAATCTGGGCTACCCATATACATGTCAACTAGTGAAGTCTGTTTTCCCGAGTTTTTAACATATCAATTATATAAATAATAATAGTTCGTTTTTTTTTAATTACCCAGACAACTTGCGTTCGTAATTAAAAATTATTCAATATAAGTAACAATAGTTGATTAATAGTTAAGAATTAAGCCGGTGTTTTTTGTGGTGTGTAACTGAATAAACATAAACATGAATTAGGACGTTTCATTATATCTCTATTCTATACATTGTGGCTTTTTCCAGCTAAAAACATGTAATTAATGCAATTTGCATTCTTACTATTAAAATATAATTATACGTAGGAAGCTAGTGGAATAATTTGTAACGAGGCACTTAACAAAGATGCATTAATCAAATTTATCAAATTCTTATAAGCCAGATTTTTTTCATTACAGACTACTATAATGTTATTCAGCCAAATCTTTTCTTTGCAGAAGCCATCAAAAGTTCAAGAATGAACATTCCTTGACTAGAAGTCGTCTTTTAAAGATAAAAAATGTCACAATTATGTTATAGTAGAAATCATGAATCTTGTTTTTAAGAAAAAAATGATAACCTTTTACCACTAAATCGTCCCAACTAATATTCAATATAGCATTACAATTTACATTCAATTCTTCGTTTAAATATTTACAGAACCAATTCATGATAAACGATGCAATCTGCATTTTAATATCCAACATAGCGGTTTTCAACCTTTTTAGTCACGACATTCTTTAAAAAAAGACAAGTTTCGTGTCACCTCAATTCTGAATTCAACATTGAATATTCATTTTGCATCACTCTGGCACTTGTCCATGTCCATTTTTACACATGAGGGCACATTTTTGGGTAATTTAAAAAACCATGCACTAGAGAGGATATAAATTATTTATGGGGGCACTTATATGCACCCGCTCTAAATTTAGTACAAGATATGAATCGAATTATCTGTGACATATCAAGATGAAAAGAAAAGTCCCATCAAATGTCAATCGATGGCTATAATCTATTGAGATGCAGTTGATTATGGCGGGTGAGTATAGCAGCTCGCATTGGGGCACTTCGCAGTGGCGTATATGCACTGAAATTGGTTACATTGCGAAAATGGCTTATTCGAAAATAATTGTATAAACGCTGCTCAATTAGTTTTGATTCTGTCTGTTTAATGTATTGGCGGAGACGCTCTTTTGCTTTCCCCATGCCGATCTGTTTGATTATGATAACCTCATCCATCTTTCATCCTTCATCATTCCATACTCCATCTCATCCACACCTTCATTGTTCACCTCTCATTGCTGTCACTATTCCAGTGGCGGATCCAGGGGGGGCCGAAACGGCCGCGGCCCCCCCTATTGGCGGCGCAAAAGGAAGAAAAAAAAGAGGAAGAAAAAAGAGAAAAAGAGAAAGGAGAAGAGGAGGAAAAGAAAGGAGAAGAGAAAAGAAAGGAGAAGAGAAAGGAAAAAAGAAGAGAAAGGAAAAGAGAAGAGAAAAGATAAAGAACAAAGCCCCCCCCCCCCCCCTCCCGGAGGGACCGAATTTGTGTTCCCAAAATTTCAGATAAAGAGGTACTTTTCACGCAACAAATTCCGGCCCGTAATCTTTTTGGTGATTTTCTGTGTGTAAACCCCCCATAACCCCCCTAACCCCCCCCCTTTATTTCATTTTTTTATTTTTTTTTATAAAAAAAAAAAAATATTCCCATGGCTGACCTATAAAAGGTGACCTTACCCCCCCCCCCTTCCCCCCAAGGGAGCAAAATGTCAAATTTTCAAATTTCGAGACCCAAAAAAAAAAAAAAGAAAAGTGTCCTCTTATTAATTGTCGGCAGGGGCGGCGATCCCAGGGGGACGGGGGACACGTCCCCCCGGAAATCCGAAAAAGTACAAAAAATTAATAGCAAACACTGACTAAAGACTGCAGCTCACTTATAAGCTCTGGAGGGCCCAAGAGTACAGCGTTTAGACTAATAAAAATGAAAAAAAAAATATTCTCGCTCGTTCGCTATAGCATCCCTTAATATCCCTAAACATACAAGTAAATATTGTAGAAAATCTATATTCCATTGGTATCACGTAAGCACAGTTTACACTGTATATTTACAAGATTAAGAGTTATAGAAATAGATCAGTGCTAGTGTGCTACAAAAATGAATATTCCGCTTGCTCTTTTCAGTAAGGAGTAATACAAGATATTAAGTGTATATATTTGCCAGGCTGATAATTTAACATCGGTAGAGCAGTGGTCTTGTAATCCGGTGACCCGGGTTCGAAACCAAGTCAAGGCGCTAGTGCCCTTTTGGAAGGCATTATTCTTCATTACCAGGCCCCTCGGAGAGGACCTAAAGCCGTCGGCCGTCTGGTTACTTACTAACAAAACAAGCATTTATGCTTTCTTAGCAGTCAGGTAAAATACCCGCTACCAGGCTGATATTTGCCATTTCAACTCCCATAGCGATATCAATATACATGTATATGACAGAGGTCTAGAGTGGGAAATAGAAATCCTAAACTGATATTTACAACCCTTCGCGACTACCTACAAGTTACCAGCAAAGTAAAAGAGGTATATTGATTGGTTTTATAATATAGTTTTGCTAAGGAAAGTAATTTTTTAATACAACAAAACCTGTGAGGGGGTAGTCAGTGCCGTCACCTTCGCCCCTCTCGTACTGATGGGGGCTTGGGGCAGTTGCCCCCCCCCCCCCCAAAAAAAAAAAAAAAAAAAAAAAAAAAAGAAGAAGATTCAAACGTATTTCTCACTTTTTTGTAAATTATACTGTCGTATTCGTTTATGGAAAATTCCCAAATTTACAGTGAGCCAAAAATATGCTTATTTAGAAGCCTACGTGTCAAGGCCCGCGGATCGGGAGGCTCGAGCCCCCCCCCCCCCCCACCCCTCACTTTTTTGAAAAAGTGTCGCAATATATGCTCGTCTGACCGTAATTAAATACCTAAAATCCCTGAGCTTGCGGGGGATCCACCCCTTGGGTCCTACAATGGACCCTATAAGGCGGGCCCCTGGATGCTTATCTGACGGTAATTAAATGCCTAAAACCCCCGAGCTTCCAGGGGCTCTGCCCTTGGACCCCACTAAGGGCCATAAGGAGGGCCCCTATATGCTCATTTGACCGTAATTTAATGCGTAAAACACCTGAGCTTTAGGGGGCCCCTTGACCCCACGTCAATTAACGACCTGACAGTGTCACAAATAAACGCCTAAAACCCCTGAGCTTCAAGGGGTCCACCCCTTGACCCCCTTTGGGGCTTTTCCCCTGGACCCCAAGCAGCAAAGGCAATATAGTCTCAAACAAATCTACACATTCAAGCTCACTCACACATGATATATTGCGACACTTTCAAGGCTACTTATTATTTCAATTTCATGTATATACAAACGGCAACAGTTTCAATATAAAATGTAAGTTCTTCTCACTTAAATCATTGGTCTGGAAACAATTATTTGCCCATTGTTACATTGTAATGCAATTTTCAAGTATCTTAGATTTATTTAGGAGAATAGAAGATTGATATTGTTTAAGTTGTTCGATAACATCACTAAATTTGATTTGATTGGAGATATATCTCAGTAAAGGCTATATAGTCTCAAACAAATCTACACCATTAAACTTCAAGCTCAATCACACATGATATATTGCGACACTTTCAAGGCTACTTATTATTTCAAGTTCATGTATATACAAACGGCAACAGCTTCAATATTAAATGAAGTTCTTCTCACTTAAATCATCGGTCTGGAAACAACAATATTTGCCCATTGTTGTATATTATACAACATTTTCCATAACGATGAATATACATAGTAATGTAATTTTCAGGAAGACCATACTTGTCACTTGTTATATTTGTTATATGATACTAAAGCAAATCGTTACGCTTTAATCGATAGGATAATGTGAATAACGTGTCGAATAATAACATCATTACGTGCTATTATTAACCGGACTAGACATGTAAACAACAATTTAAACATGCATACACTTTTGCCAGCAAGCAAGTTTTTCAACAAAGAATACAAAATGTGAACAACGTTTTACATAAATAGTCAGGACAGATTAGGAGATGCTTTAAAGCATGCCCTATAGTTGAACTGTAACAGTTGTCTTCTAAAGTCTTCCATATATAAATTTAAAGAAGGTCAATAATCATTATGAAGGTTGACACATCAATATATATTGTGCATACATGTAACAATTTGAAAATATTTTTTCTTGGGGGGGGGGGGGGGGGGTGAGGGCGTGGGCAATTCAGAAAGGGACCGATATGTGAAAAATTGGGTACTATAGGATTTCCCGGCCAAATTCGCGAGTTTGTCATTCAAATTCATTTGTCTTGCGTTCAAATTCGACGGTTTTAGTGCTGTCGGGTATATCTCGGGTTTATATTCCTTTTTCTAGATTTCAAATCTATGAAGTTTTCGTTAGAATCTATGTATGTTTCATTCCAATTAATAAATAAATTTCTTCTTTCGCTATTTGGTC